CTGGTAAAGATCTGCCAAAGAAACTCCGAAGAAAAGATCAGGAGCTCTTAAAGAAACTGTGAAAGAAAAATGTCCCAAAGCTCTGAAGAACAATCTCAGGAAATTTCTCTTATGCATTTAAGTTCTTTTATTATTTATTTCAGAAGAAGAAATATTTATCTCAGGGGGAGATTCTCACTCTTGTACAAAAAATTTTAAAAATCAAAATCTGAATTGTTTTGTCATCATCAAAAAGGGGGAGATTGTTAGAACAAAGTTTGGTTCTAATCATATCTTAGAGTTTTGATGATAACAATGAAATAAATTTTGTATAATATATTTTATACTCTGATGTGCATGTTTTCTAATTCAAATGATGTTCTGACTCAAGCATTCTCAAAAGTGAAACATCATTCTACGCTGAGCAGAAAAAAGGATAAAGAAGTTCCTAGGAAATTTTATGTAAACGCAAGTCTGAAGCAAACTCTGAAGGAAGCACTCCAAGACAAACTCTGATAAAAAGTAATCTTAAGCAACCTCTGATAAAGCTAGCTGAAGCAAAGATTTGAAATAAGCACACTGAAAGCAATATCTGATAATGCAAGTTGAAGCAAACTCTGATGAACATAAAATAAAGAAAAATATGACAGAAGGAGTGATATAGCAAACTCTGATAGAAGAAAAGTTAAAGCAAACTCTGATGTTGCAACGCTGCAAGCAAACTCTTAAACTTCCAGAGACAAGCTCTGACAATACTGTTGATCATTTAATGCTAAGACGGCTAACGCACTCAAGTGGTACTACGCACAAGAGCATTGGAAACATAAAGGTCAAGCTAACACGCATCATTAATGCATACTCTCTCTTCAAGGCAGTAACGGTCAAAATTTGAAGCTATATATAGAAGACCATTTGTTTCAAATCAAGGTTACTGATCCACGCAAAATATACTGAAGCTCACTATTTTCATTCTTGTAAACTATTTGTATATAGTGGGTAATTCTTAAGTACTGGGCAAAAATCTTAGTGATAAATCACAATTTGTGATATAGCTTATTAGAAGCATTCTGATTCACTACTGTTAAGAGATAATCTTTGTAATTGTTCCTTGAGAGACCAGTTGAGTCAGATTTCTCAAAAGGGCTAAGACTAGTTTAGTCTTAGAGGTGTTAGTCACTTGCAATTGGCTTGTGCACTTTATTGTTAGTCACTTGCAGTTGGCTTGTGCATTGTATTGTTAGTCACAACAGTTTGGTTGTGCATTTGTAATCGGTTTTGATTATAGTGGATTAAGTCCTCGTTGAGAGAGGCTAAATCACCTTGGCGGGTGGACTGGAGTAGTTTGAGTTTCAAACGAACCAGGATAAAATTACTTGTGTCTTTCCATTATTATTGTGCAGGAAAAAGGAAAAACTTATTCACCCCCCCCCCCCTTCTAAGTGTTTTCTCACCCTTCACTTCCCAAGCCACTTAGTGTTAAACATCCTAACATTAAACTCCATATTTCATGTGTGAGTGTCATTATATTTTCTCAGTTGCGATGAACATAATGAAATCCATCCACATCGTTCTTCCTTGCATGTCACTCTAACCCTTGTCTTATCATTCTTGATAAAACGTAAATATCTACCTTTATTAACAGTGTATTTTAAAATTGCTTCTTTGAACTCCTCTTTTGTTGAGAACATGATACCTAATTCCCATTTATGGTCAACAAACTTCTTAGGTATTACAAATAATGGATATTTTGCCTTTGTACCCTCATTTGAATACTCACCACTCATATCCTCTTCACTTTTTTAACTTTTTATAATTATAATCTTAATATGACAAACCCTTATCTACCACTTTACCTCTATTCCTTTCTATAAATTCAAAGTCAAGTGCATGTTTCTCACTTGATGGTTCTTTATTTATATAAATTCCTTCATCCACACTTTGTTTTTTGGGTCTTCCATTTTATTTTTTAAACTTTCTTTGGCTTTCTTTTTCTTTGTTCTATCACCTTCCTTTTTTGTCTTCATGTGTTTCATCCACTTCTAGTTTATCCACAGGTTGATCATTTTGGCCATCAATAAACCCTCATACTCCTACCAACAACTCATCAATTTCATCATTTAATACATCATCATCTGAGTCGTCAAATTTGCTCCATAATACATTGTCATCACTTTGTTCCTTATGGTCATTTTGTACTTCTGTTAGATTTTGGGCATGTTGGACAGTTTTGGCATTTTGTTCAGGTATCACAAGCAGGGCCTCGGGTTGTTCTTCAGTTGGTTGGGTTTCAACTACTTCTATTACATCTGGTTGGGAAGTAGGGTGGACTATGTATATGTCTACCTTTCCATTAGTCTTTGACCAATTAAGCAGTTATATTGCACCAAAGTCATTTTCTAGTGACTTAAATGTACCAACCAAATCATACCACATTTTAAGTACTCAAGGATACCTATTCTTTAACAACACCAAAAATTTCAAAGTAACTTCATCTATCACCATCACACTTTCAATTTAACATTTCCCCTCCTACATATGTACCCTTATCATCAAATTGTCCCCCATAATGAAAGTCAACATAAAAAATGTTCATCATTTTGTCATGTTTACATCAATGAAAATCCCATTACTCTACAAAAAGCAACATTACATTATACCACACTACCCTACCCTTATCCTAACAAGCAGAAAAATGTGCACTTTGGGAGAATAAAGATATAAGGGACCACATATAAGACCCTAGGCATAAAACAACCAATATTATATTATGCTATAATACTCTACCATTACAGAAAATCTGAATACTCACCTACAATTCCTAAAATGAGAACCACATAAATTAGGGAAAATAAAAAAAAATTGTCACATAACTCAATCATTCGAATCCTTCTTCTCTTTCTTCGTTCATACTTGTGTAGCTCTCCTCCTTTGTGCCTGAGTTCTCCTCCTTTGTGCATTCTTGTTTATGGTTTTATGCGTCCTCACTCAACATTTCTTAGTTTGGGATTTAGGGATTTCTGAAAATGGTCTCTTGTTATTAATCTGATGTTACTAATTTAATATAATATTCCATGTCATCAGAGTTACTAACACCTCACTCACGTTAATTTCATATATTCATTTTTTGAACAATTTTTTTTTAAAAAGACAACAGTGCACACATTTGGTAACTTAAAGGACCATGTTGGTACAAAACAAACTTAAAGGACTAACATGTTACAGTAAAATAACTTAAAGGATCCCTGGTGTAATGACAAACTTTGTCCTATTAGGTAAGATGAACATATTCATTTCGTTTGTTCCTTCGACGAAATCAACAACCTCAAAGTAGGTAGTATCACTTTAAGATTCAGTTTCATTAAAATTTACTTCCTTTCCCTTTCACTTTCCCTCATTTTATATTATTGGTGCAACAATACCTAGGATGCATGGAAGATTGAAAATGTTTTTATCAACTTTTTTTCTTTGGTTATAATTATGCCACATAATTCTAATCGTGCTATAATTTGGTTCATAACAGAGTTACATGCAACAACACTTTTATAATCACATGAATATCACTTCACTAAATCACGTGGCTAGAATAATGTTTTCTTGTCTTGTAGTGTTGGAATCTTAATTTGTTCCAATGATCCATCAATGAGAGAAGTAAGACTTTCTTCTGATGTTCAAATCTTTTCTTAAGTTTGTCCCACAATATCTTGGAATTTTTTGCATTTGAGTATTTTGTTTGTAATCTATCATCAAAGTGATGCTTGATTATCCAATTTACTTTCAAATTTTTCATCGCCATTTGCTGAGTTTCCCAAATTGTCTTCTTCAAGATTTTGTCGAGTCGCTCACATGTAAGATACTCAATTAAGTTGTTGTTCCAAGTTATGTTTAAATTTTGAATTAATACTTAATGTTAAACATAATTATATCTACTAGTAGTAAACACTTCTGATAGAAACAATCGTACTTATAACATGTTGAGAAAATTAAATATTTGAATGAGACTAAGAAAATAAAGAGAGGAGAAAGTAGTACGATATCTTATATTCTTCGATAAAAAAAATGGTGTATCTTTACATGGACCAAATGAAAATATTTATACTACTTAAAATTATAATTATTACATAAATGTAATAATTTACTATATTACCATATATATTACAAATAAAACATTACTATTCTAAATAAACAATTTGATAGATAATTTCCACTGCTATTTTAAATTGACATTTTAGACAAATATTTTAAAATAATGGTAATAGTTTCTAATTTATTATAAAACAAAATATTTTTTTAGTTTAAATTTTAATATTACAAATAATCACAAATTCAAATCTTTTAAATTGAATAAAAAAATACGATTCAATAGTATTTACCATAAATGTTCAATATTTGCAATTTGCATCGATGCAATACTCTCGCTAAAATCGCCATGACCCATAATGAACTAGTCCCATGTCAGACCCAAAGTGCAAACGAATTTAAAGAAAAGAAAATGTTAATGAAACTAAAATTAAAAAATGTACTGTATTTCATAAATTGTGTATTGATTTTCTGAAAAAATTTAAAAATTGTTTTTTCCAACACACACTTCATTTTTATACATTGACTTTGTCAATGTAAATAGAAGCAGAGCTAATAATGATTTAACAAATGACAATCACGAGAATGAAATTGAAAACATGATTTATAGCTAATTAAATAAAAACAGAAATGAATAAGCCAGCGACTAAGGTAAGTGAGAGAAAAGAAGGACATTTTGGGAAAAAAAGCAAAGAGAAACCAGAAAAGTCATTTTCAAATTCCCATGAAGAGACAGTACCCAACGTTGGGAAATAAATAACCGGCACGCAAAAAAAGCACACACATAATAACGCTTTCATTTCAAAATCTCTGTTCTTTCTCTTCACGAGGCTACTTCACTTCTATTCTACTAGCACCGCTCTTAAACATTCACTCTCTTTTAAAACTGTGTCACTTCTTTATTTGTTATTGTTTGTTTCATTGCATGATAGTACATTAGTAAAATGTATACTTCATCATCCACAAGAAGACCCAAATGGCACCACCATCCACCTCCTCCTCCAACGCCAAGAATCCTTCACTTCCCTCGCCGTCCCCGCCGGAGACTCCTTTCATCCTCCTCGTCCATCCGGAATGACCTCAAAGCCAGCAATAGTACTAACATGCTGGGGTCTTTGTTTGATAGAGAGAAACGCGCACCTCCTGCTGAAGCTCCGGTGAGTGTTCCTGTAGTGCTGTTGGAGGAAGAGAGGAGGAGGGAGAGAGTTGTTGTTGAGAGTGGCGATGGGTTGGAAGAAGAGAAGTGGAAGTTTCAAGCGGAGATGTTGAGAGCGGAGTGTAATTTGTTGAGGATGGAGAAGGAAATTGCTGTTAAGAAGTTGGAGAGGACCCGTTCGAAAATGGAACGGACTTTAAGATCTGTTGTTCATACCCTTGTTTCTGTTAGTTCACTTCCTCTTTCACTTTCTATCATTATGTTTAATTTATTATTTTTTAGAAGTGTTTCTAAATTTATATGAATACATGATTTGATTTTTAACTTAGAAAGTGGAATGTAGGGGAGAATAAAGATATGTGAAGGAAAGAATATTGACATGGTTTTGGATGAAGAGATTCATGAGTTGACAGAGAAGCTTCAGAAGCTGCAAAGGAGATCAACAGTTAAGGAGTTTGAGAGAAGGAAGAGTAGCAGAAATTTCGATAAACAAGTTTCGGTTCTGCAGAGACGCCTCCAGAAGATTGGAGGACCGTCGGATGGAATATATTTAAGGGAGTTTGAAGAGATGGAAAATGTTAGATTGTTAGTTAGAAGAAGTGGAAGATTTGATGATAGTGTTGTTGCAAGTGGGAAATTGAATGTAGGTGAAAAAAGTAACCACCATGTGTTTGTGTTATTGTTTAGGTTGTTAATCCATGTTTTTGTCTTTTTTGATGTTTGTTTCTTATGGACTTTTTTGAACTTTAAAGGTGGAGATTCTAAGAAGGAAAATGGAGGGATTGTCAAAGGGGATATTATTGGAGAGAATGGAGGAAGAGTACAATTCACTGCTGTCCACTGCTAGTAGCTCTCTTGCTAGTTCTGGTTCAACTTCCAAGAGAGTTGAATTTCAACTACCTCACCAGGCATGTTCTCCATTTCTTTGCTCTAACTTGATTTCTATGTCAAAAGATTTTAAATAACACGTAAAGGTTTTCGCGATTTCAATCCATACAGGTGTTGCAATATTGATTGCGGCCGTGAGGTGTAAATTAACTACAATTTCTTTTTCATCAGAAAAATGATGGATTTTTATCTCGGTCGTTTTCGCAGTAACAAACCGTTTTTCAAAATCTTAAGTATAAGAAAATATTTACAGTAAAATTATAGAATTGTCGACCTTTTTCGTGTGAAGACACAATCTATTCGACTAACTGAGTTAAAAGAATGATGATATCAGTTCTTATCGAATTATGTATTTTCAAATCATGTAGGAAAAATTGTCATGTGAAGGGAACATGTGTTCAGGACATTGCAAGACTATTGTAAGAAAAATAGTGGAGCAAGTTAGAGTTGAGACAGAGCAATGGTCACAAATGCAGGAGATGCTTGGTCAGGTGAGGGAAGAAATGGAAGAACTGCAGGCTTCACGAGATTTCTGGGAAGATCGCGCCTTGCATTCCGATTCTCAAATGCAATCTCTACACAATGCAGTAAGATAAAGTTTAACCTCAGTATTTCCCGTTTACTACTAGTGTTTCCTGTTTACATTAGCCTCGTGTTTTCTTTCACACAGGTGCAAGAGTGGAAACAAAGAGCTCTTTCGTCCGAAAGTAAGAAAAATGAGCTTGAGGAGAAACTTTCCATGCTCTGTGGTGATCTCGAAAGGTTTAGGAGCGAACAGAATGCAGTTAAGGAGACTAAACGTTCATCGGTTCCCTTGGATACTCAGAACGAGTTTGAGAAGCGTATAGTAGTTTGCAGCACAAAGGAAAATATTAGTAATGTTGCAGAAAACAGAAAACATAGTGAGATTTTAAGGAATGGAGAAAGAAAAACACATACTACTAGTGCTAGAGGTGGTTTAGTAGTTCCAAAGCGATCTCCGTTTCGCGACATTGGGAACAACTCGTCGTTGTTGACGAGGCAGCAGAATGCCAAAGCAGTTTTTCCTTTGCATTGCCACCTTTCTTCAAATGCTGAGAAAACTTATCGCTTGAATGAAAGGTGATCAGTTCTAACATAAAATTACATGTTATAAACTTATAATACAATCAGGCAAAGAAGGCGCGCAATGATTTTGGCGTTTCTTGTTTTAAAATCGATGGTTTGGGATCTGTCGTGTAATATGTACTATGCTTAGGAAGTGTACGGATAAATAACTCGATTAAGAGATTATTGTTGAGTTGTTATGAATAAGTTTTTGTTTCTACAGGTCATCTAAAGCTGCATACGAAATCAAGTTTAAAACATCATAAATGCTTTTAATAAAATGTTTAGACACTTGCATAGATACCAACTCTTTTAAACTCACCCTTAGTCTACTTTAAAGGTTGTGTTAAGGAAGGTACCAAAATTAAAGTGTGCACTCTGGACACCACCTATGTGTATAATTTAATTTTGGCTACACCTATTTATTTACCATATAGATGGAATGAAAAGTATAATTCTCTGACTACTTGATCTGGCTTAAATCAGAGGGTAACAAACTGGCATTTGAAGTTTGAACTCATTCTTTTAGTACAAGTGAAGTGATGATGGTTTTAAAATTATTTGGTATGAAAGTACATTCAATATTAATTCAGGAACACATCATTATATAAAAAAATTAACTAAATATAGAAATAAAACGCAAATGGGTAATAAACTCGCCACTGTTTCTTTTAGAATCAAAAAAGTGTAGAAGGATATTTATAATTTAGAGGTGAAAAATCGGTCGGTTTGAGTCGAAATCGGATCAAAAATTTAAATCTGATGTAAATTGTGGTTTCATTATTGAGGCCCGATTTCGATCGATAAAATTTTAGTTTTTAACGGATTCCTTTTAATCGATTTAATAGGTAAATCAGATGGATTTGATCGGTTAATATTATTGAAATAAATCTATAAAAATTACTCATTTTTTATAATTTTCACAAATATTTATCTTTTAATTTTTTTTTAAAACTATCAAAATTTTAGAATAATTTAAAAAATTATTTTTTTATTATTAAAAAAACGTTATTATACCATTATTAAATTATAAAAATGATAATAATTTGATAATATTATGAACTTATTTTTATAATGGTTCGATTCTAAAATAATAAAAAATATGTAAAATAAATATTTGTTAAATTCGACTGGATTCGATTTTCAATAAATCTAAAATAATTATCCGAGTTCGATTGAATCAATCTTATAATACCTAAATTAAATAATCCGATGAACCTGTCACTCGATCTGACAGCGGACACAATCTATTTACTCAAAAAAGACAATGAATCGATCAGTTTAAATTAGACAATTTGAATTTATCTAACCTTACATTTATGACTTGATTTTTCTTAAACTGAATTAGTTTAAATCTTTTCAAATATTTCTCTTAAGCTCATATGAATTTTTAAGATTATCTCTTTTAACTTGTTTGGATAGTAAAATTTTAACTTACCTTTATATATGTTTATCCAAATAATATATTTAAACAGATCTCTAGCTCAATTTTTTAAAGTCATGGCAGTTAAAACCATCTTTACTTTACATTGTTTGAATAATTCTGTTTTAACTAATCCATTTTTAATAATTATGGCAATTGAAACCCCATAGTCTTCACATTTAGATAAATTTAAGTAGCACTGTAAAAAAAATTGGAGTCTCAAATCTTAAACCATTTGGACAAAGTTGTGAAACAAATGTTTTGAATTATCTACAAATGACTTATAATACCTATTCTTGTTCAACAATAATTTTAAAGTCAAACCAAATTTGAGGGACACAACAGTGAAAAAAAAAAACTAACGGAAAATATCTGCTATGTTTCTCTTCAACCTTTTTAAAGTGGAACTAAAATGAAAAAAAAAAAAAGCAATATAAAGGAATTAAAAACAGTGCCGACTCAACATATATAGAAATTTAAGGCGAATTTCAAAATAAGTTTTTTATTATTATTGTTGGAGAAAGATATTACTTATTCACCTAAAACTTTAAGGTGATAGATGAGTGGATTATCTCACTTATATATGCTTAAGTCTCCACATTTCTATTCAATGTGAGACTATTTTCCCACTTACTCACATTTGCTATATTATTCCAACACTCCTCATCAAGTGTGAGTCCATAATACTCCCTCATTTGTACCGTCATTGATATCTTACAACGGAACACCACTTTCTGGGTGCATTTCGATACAAGCCGCTTTCGGTCCCTTTCTCAAACCAGGCTTTGATACCACGTTGTTTTTCTCAGTGTTCGATTGAGTGTTCACCAGCAACAGCACATCATCAGAATCACTACTTTCAACTCGTGCATATTGAGCTTCATCACTATCTTTCGACTTCGCAACTTTCTTTCTTCGACAGTCTCTAGCATAGTGGCTAAAACTTTGACAATTGTAACATTGCACCTCTTTCGTGTCAACTTTCTTCCCAGAATACTTGTTGCCCACTCCTTTCGAATAAGTATTCTTGCTTGACTTCTCATCACCAGCAAAATTCTTTCGCTGCTTCGATTTCTCTTTTTCATCTTTCTTGCTGAATCTTGATTGCAATACTTGTTCAGCTACTTTCTCCCTTTCTGAGTTTCTTTGCTGCAGCCTCATTTTATGAGCCTCCAAAGAAGCTTGAAGTTCTTCCAACTTCATCTCAATAGATTCTTGGCCTCTTCGATTGTTACAACAAAATAATCAAAATCTACAATTAGAGATTTCAATACCTTTTCTATCTTTTGCAGATCCGTAAGCACTTTATCACATGCCTTCATCTGATTTGTTAGCGTCACTACTCTTGAGAAATATGCAGAAACAGATTCATCCTCTTTCATCTGCAGCATCTCATACTGCTTTCTCAGAGTCTGCAACTTCACTTTCTTCAATTTCTCATCTCCGCCATACAAGGACTTCAGCTTTTCCCAAACTCCTTTTTCTGTTTCTTCTTCGATTATCTTTTCAAATACATCATAATCCACACACTGGTGAATCAAGAACAGCGCATTGCCATCTTTCTTCCTCGGATCTTTGTGCGCAGCTTTCTGGGCTTCCGTTGCATCTACTTCCAGTTATGAAATTCCATCATTCAAGATTTCTACAACATCTTGAAATATGAAAATAACCTTCATTTGTGCAACCCACTGTTGATAGTTTTCACATTTGAAAACCGGTAGATTCGCTGGAAACTGTGTTGATGTTGTTGATCCGTTTGTCATTAGATTCTCTCGAAATTGCAAACAAGCTCTTGATACCAATTTGTTGGAACAAATGATTCAAGAAAGATGAATCTTATGAAAAACAAGAAGAAGAAGAAGAAGAAGAGAGAGAGAGAGAGAGAGAGAGAGAGAGAGAGAGAGAGAGAGAGAGAGAGAGAGAGAGAGAGAGAGAGAGAGAGAGAGAGAGAGAGAGAGAGAGAGAGAGAGAGAGAGAGAGAGAGAGAGAGAATGATGAGTTAGTTATGTGTAACTAACTATCTAACTGATTTGGTTATTATTGTTGCTACTTCTATTACAAACACAATGACTCTTTATATAGGCAAAATAGCTCAGGCCCAAATACATCCTAAAAACCCAAATAACTACATAACAAAAATTAACCAACTAACAAATACAAACATGTCTTATTTCAGAAATGTCGGTGCTACATAACTCCAAACACTTTTTTTAAGATAAAAGGAAACCAAACAATAGGTTTATTATCCAACTATGTTCTTTAGTTTATTTATGTTGGAATAATATAGCAAGTGTGAGTTAGTGGAGAAATAGTCTCACATTGGATAAGAATATGGAGACTTGAGCATATATAAGTGAGAGAACTCACTCACCTATCACCTTAAGGTTTTAGGCGGATAAGTGGTGTGTCTCTCACAAAGATACTTATTCCTACACTATATATCGATGCTCCTAGTATCTCCCCCAACAGTGATATCAGAGCCTTTAGTTTTAGAAAGGCGGCGATACAAGTGAGGGATCATTGTGGAATAATATAGCAAGTGTGAGTAAGTGGGGAAATAGTCTCACATTGGATAGGAATGTGGAGACTTGAGCATATATAAGTGAGAGAACCCACTCACCTATCACCTTAAGGTTTTAGGTGAGGGAGTATTGTGGAATAATATAGCAAGTGTGAGTAAGTGATAAAATAGTCTCACGTTCTAGTATCTCCCTCCAACAATTTATTCCATAAATTACCATCATCTTTTGATTTCTCTGATTTTTCTTGTGACCGTTGCTATTGGTCATTAGTAAACTGCATGACAGTTTCGCCTGCCACAGTTTTTTAAAATATGAGAAAAATTTTCAGATAATATTATCTGAACAATTATATACAATTATATAGAATGCATTCAAATTTTACTATTCAAACGAAGTTAAATAAATAATTTTAAAAAATACAAAATTTAGATATAAATTTTTAAATGTAATTTTTTTATTTTTTTTTAAATATAAATATTACAAATATATTTAATATCATTTAAAGAATTAAATTTAAAAAAATTATATATGTATATGAAAAAATTATATATTTATTATATATTTATTAAAAAATATTAAAAAGTACACTTAAAAAATTATATCTAAATTTTCTTCGATTAAAAATTCACATGATTTAAAAAAAATATATATAGTGTGTAAAAGATAATTCTCTTTTATTTTGAATTTTGATAATTAAGTTTAAAATTGATTTGCGTCCCAATTGTATACCACTATGGATCCATTTATTACCATTTTTAAAATTTTAAATGGCGTCACATATTTTAACAAAAAAACTAATCGTTTTTAATAAAATTATATGAAATAGTATGAATAATAACTCATAAATTTATTTTAAATATTTTATCATTTTGCGATGATTTTATTTAATATCAAACTTTTTAAAAATTATTGAAATTTATAAAAATAATTTTTAAAATATATTTTGAAAAATTATATAATTATTATTATATTAAATTTTTTAGTAATAAATATTTAAATTATTTAATGTCAATTATTTTTTAATTTATAAAAAAATAGTTTGAAATAACTTCTATTATTGTTGAGGAAAACTGC